TTTTTTGAATGCCTGTACTATGTAAAGTATCATATGTACTTCTTAATCTAATTATTACAAGAAGTCATAATGTTATGGAACTGGACTCAGCAAGGAAGTGACTGACACGTGGAGGGTTGGAGTCAGGTATTTATTATGCTGGTGGGCTCGGATGAGCTAATGCTCCAAAAGATCTGGACCCCGAGCTCAGGTTTTACAGGGCTTTTTATAGGCAGACTCCTCCAGGTTTCTAGGTTTCAGTTTCTCAACACACATCTGAAACAGGCAGTCAGGCAGCTGCAAGTTTTGGCTTCTCAGAACTTATGTGGTCTAAGCAGATTAAGTAAGCCTAGTTACAGAAGCAAGGAAAGCAAGCAGTTGATTAACAGCTAGGCTGAATTCACGTGTCCTTGTAGATAAGCAAACTTGGTTACAGAGGCATTACAAAGGTAAGGCAAATTTTCAATTTTGAGTTTTCCCAATATTAAAAGTATCTTAATATTTTTGCTTAACAGATTAGAAAAATGGGGTTCAGAATGGATAAAAGACTTGCCCAAAATAACAGACCTAGTAAGAGGCAGTTTTCTAATTCAGGGATGTTTTCTTATATAGCATGTGTAAAGAGAAAATAATTTTACTAGCAGTGTAACTTATCTCACTGAAGAGTAATATTTTTCCTAAGAGAGGCAATGTGATATAGTAAAAAGAACACAAAATTTAAAGTCAGGAGACCTAAGACTTTAGGGCTCTATGATCTTCAGTAAATAATTTCCTATCTCTGATCCTCAGTTTTTTCCCATTGTTAACACAGGAATTGAGTTACTCAAGGCTTGAAAACTAGTGGCCTGTGAGATATTTTTTCATAAAATTCTGGAGACCTAAAACTTTAGGGCTCTATGATCTTCAGTAAATAATTTCCTATCTCTGATCCTTAGTTTTTTCCCATTGTTAACATAGGAATTGAGTTACTCAAGGCTTGAAAACTAGTGGCCTGTGAGATATTTTTTCATAAAATTCTAGATTTTGACCTTTTCTATAAAAATGAAAGGTCTCCTACTTTAAAAAACAAACAAAAAAGCCAATAATGCGTGTTATAAGCATTCTAAAAAAATAGTTTGGCAGTTTCCTAAAAACTTAAATATATACTTACCATATGACCTTGCCATTCCAGCCCTAGGTATTTAACCAAAGAGAAATAAAAACTTATGTTCACACAAAAACCTGTACACAAATGTTTATAGCAGCTCTCTTCACAATTGCCTAGAGCTGGAAACAACCCAAATATCCTTCAGTGGGTGAATTATAAACCAACTGTGGTATATCTATGCAATAGAATACTACTCATCAAAAAATAAAACTTCATGTGAGCAATAACTTGGCTGAATCTCAAAAACATATGTTGAACAAAAGATTACACACCATATGATTCCATTTACATGACATTCTTGAAACAAAAAAGCCAAAATTCTAGTGCTGGAGAACAGATCAGTAGCTGCCAAAGGTTAGGGAGGGGGAATAGGTGACAAGCCAGTGATAGCACAAAGTTTTTCAGGGTTAATAAAACTGTTCTTAATCCTGATTTCAGTGGTGGTTACATAAATCTATACATGTGTTAAAACTGATACAAGTATTTACTAAAAAAATTCATTTTACTGTTAATTTAAAAATACAAGAAGAAAAGATAACCCTCCCCAGATCCCACCTTTTTCTCCAATGACTGCCACCTTCCCTGATTCTCAGCAGCACTTGGCACCATCGGTCACTCCCTTCTTCAATATTTTCTTGTTTTGCCTTCCAAGAAATCACATTCCCCAGGTTTTCCTCACATCTTACTGGGCACTCCTTTTCAGTGCCTGGCATGTGGTAGGTGTTCAGTAAGCTTTTGTTGAATGAATCAGTACATCTAGCCACACTGGCATAGGGCTCCCTCTGGGCTAGAGGCAAGTAGCAGCTAGAGGAGCCAAGCAATAGCTGTCCTCTTTAGTCCCAGAACGCCCTCTCCAGTCCAACACAGTCCCACAACTCCCTGTTGTCTTATACTTGGTTCGTTTTGCATAGATATTGTTACTGTCTGTTTTGTGTTGGGGTTAAGAGTTTTGATCCCAGATTAGATTAGATTTAAGGTACGGAAAACTTACAAATTTTCCAATACTGATTGATTTTTCAGGGGGAAAAAGCAGTAAAAGTATCCATGTGAAAAATTCTATATAGGCTCTTTCTATTCTTGCTTTTTTCCTGTGATATTACAGCAGCACAGCTCTAAGACTGTCGGTAGTAATTTAATTTAAATATAAATGATACTATGGTAACCTCATTAAAAATATATGGGACTAAAACAAGTACAAACTCAGATCTATAGCTGACCACTAGAAGGAAGCTGAGATGTTTGAATCTTTGATACAGATGATAAACAACGATTTACTATCTGACTCAAAAAAATCATACTTAAAAAATCAATCCTTGTAGTTTTTCATAGGTAGTAGATATATTGTTTGCTTGATAGCTAAAATGTGCATTAAATACATATGGAATGATACCATATTAGGTTAAAGTACATTACATATTGCTTGGTAATTTGGGAGAAGTCTTATTTAACCATAATACATCTGGAATTTTCTAATTTCTAATCACAAGTTAGTGATAGCTAACACATAGCACATTATTAGGGTTCAATTGTTATACTATAAAGTGTTTTGAGACCTGCAGACAAATTATATAAATATAAAATATTGTTTTCTAGGAAAAAGGTATAACAAGTATCATCCTAAAATATACTTGTTAGATGATGGGCACATGATTCCTTGTTAAACATTGCCAGGCTCTGAAAAGATTTACTTCACCCCAAACAACTCAAAATACCAGTTTTCAACAAGAAAGGTTTGTATGTCAGTTAGTAAATATTGAGGTCTGGTGAGGACTGCAGAGAGAACCTAGCCAAATATTCACATAAGGGAAATAAATGTAAAAATATACTTCTAGCAAATGTGTTCAACTCTAGAGCAAATTGCTTTCCCAACTAAATTCTACAGAAAACCTGCATCTCATAACTCATTACCAATAATGACCCCCTTTCATGATAACTGAAAATGCAC